TAATGTACAGTAGTACCTTGGTACTTGAACCACTCCCATCTCAAGCAATTCGGCATTCGAACGCTTTGTTCAGAAAAAAAAAATCGCTCTATAGACGACCGTTTGCTCGGCACTCGACCAAACATTAGGTGTCAGCCTCCTCGCAGGTGTCGCTTTGTGCAAAACTCGGTTGAACTTCGCTGTAAACTATTTCATGTTTCTTCGCGCTTTTTGGTATTTTTTAGTATTTGTAAGTAAGGAAGTCTGAATGTGCGTGGATCTTGTGCAAATGATAAGAAAGAGATGATTGTGGATGTTATGAATGAGAAGAAGCTGGATGTCCTGGCTTTAAGTGAAACAAAGCTGATGGGGGTGGGAGAGTTTCAGTAGAGAGGAATGAATAGGATTAGGTCAGGGGTTTCAAATAGTTAGAGCTAAAGGAGTAGAATAATGTTGAAGGATAAGATATGGCAGGAAAAGAGGGACTATAAATGTATTAATTCAAGGATTATGTGGAGCAAAATAAAGGTTGGATGTGAAAAGTGGGTTATCGTAAGTGTATATGCACCTGGAGAAGAGAGAAGTGTAGAGGAGAGGGAGAGATTTTGGGAAATGTTGAGTGAATGCATGGAGAGTTTTGAACCAAGTGAGAGTACTTGTGGTTGGGGATTTAAATGCTAAAGTGGGTAAAAATGTTGTGGAGGGAGTAGTAGGTAAATTTGGGGTGCCAGGGGTAAATGTAAATGGGGAGCCTTTGAGCTATGTGTAGAAAGAGATTTGGTAATAAGTAATACATATTTTATGAAAAAGAGGATAAATAAATATACAAGGTATGATGTAGCACGTAATGAAAGTAGTTTGTTAGGTTATGTACTGGTGGATAAAAGGTTGATGGGTAGGCTCCAGGATGTACATGTTTATAGAGGGGCAACTGATATATCGGATCATTATTTAGTTGTAGCTACAGTTAGAGTAAGAGGTAGATGGGACAAGAGGAAGGTGGTAACAAGTAGGAGGGAAGTGAAAGTGTATAAACTAAGGGAGGAGGAAGTTCGGGTGAGATATAAGCGACTATTGGCAGAAAGGTGGGCTAGTGCAAAGATGAGTAGTGGGGGGAGGGAGGGTTGAAGAGGGTTGGATGAGTTTTAAAATGCAGTATTTGAATGTGGGGCAGAAGTTTGTGGTTATAGGAGGGTGGGGGCAGGAGGAAAGAGGAGTGATTAGTGGAATGATGAAGTAAAGGGTGTGATATAAGAGAGAAAGTTAGCTTATGAGTGGTTTTTACAAAGCAGAAGTGTTATAAGAAGAGCAGAGTATATGGAGAGTAAAAGAAAGGTGAAGAGAGTGGTGAGAGAGTGCAGAAGGAGAGCAGATAGTGGGAGAGGCACTGTCAAGAAATTTTTATGAAAATAAGAAAAAAATTTGGAGTGAGTTAAACAAGTTAAGAAAGCCTAGGGAACGTATGGATTTGTCGGTTAAAAACAGAGTAGGGGAGTTAGTAGATGGGGAGAGGGAGGTATTAGGTAGATGGTGAGAATATTTTGAGGAACTTTTAAATGTTGAGGATGAAAGGGAAGTGGTAATTTCATGCACTGGCCAGGGAGGTATGCCATCTTTTAGGAGTGAAGAAGAGGAGAATGTAAGTGTGGGGGAGGTATGTGAGGCATTATGTAGAATGAAAGGGGGGTAAAGCAGCTGCAACTGATTGGATCATGACAGAAATGTTAAAAGCAGGGGGGGATATAGTGTTGGAGTGGTTGATACTTTTGTTTAATAAATGTATAAAAGAGGGGAAGGTACCTAGGGATTGGCAGAGAGCATGTATAGTCCCTTTATGTAAAGGGAAAGGGGACCAATTATGTAAGTGTATTTATGTAAGTGCGTTTGTGTGTGTATGTTTGGGGGTCTGAAATGGACTAATCTACTTCACAATATTCCTTATGGGAACAAATTCGGTCAGTACTGGCACCTGAACGTACTTCTGGAATGAAAAAATATCGTTAACCGGGGGTCCACTGTATATGGAATAGGTGGTAAGTTACTAAATGCTGTAAAGAGTTTTTATGAGGATAGTGAGGCTCAGGTTAGGGTGTGTAAAAGAGAGGGAGACTACTACCCAGTAGGGGTCGTTCTCGAAAAGGTTGGAAGGAAGGGGTAAGGGAGGTTTAGTGGGCGAGGGGCTTGGACTTCCAGCAGGCGTGCATGAGCGTGTTCAATAGGCGTGAATGGAGACGAATGGTATTTGGGACCTGACGATCTGTTGGAGTGTGAGCAGTGTAATATTTAGTGAAGGGATTCAGAGAAACCGGTTATTTTTATATAGCCGGACTTGACTCCTGGAAATGGGAAGTGCAATGCCTGCACTCTAAAGGAGGGGTTTTGGGATATTAGCAGTTTGGAGGGATATATTGTGTATCTTTATACATATATGCTTCTAAACTGTTGTGTTCTGAGCACCTCTGCAAAAACAGTGATTATGTGTGTGAGGTGAAAGTGTTGAATGATGATGAAAGTATTTTCTTTTTGGGTCACTCTGCCTCGGTGAGAGACGACCGACTTGTTGAAAAAAAAAAAAAGTTGCCGTGGGGTCCTAAGAAAATAGTAATAACAGTCAACCCCTAAAAAATAGTAACAATACAGATGAAAAATGATTAATTATTCCTTATGGGAAAAATTTGTTCGGCACTCAAACAGATAGGAACTCGAACGGCCTTCTGGAACGAATTAAGTTCGAATACTGAAGTACTACTGTATGTAATATCCAGTAGGTATGTTAGGATTATTGGCAGTTTGGAGGGATATGTTGTGTATCTTTGTGTGTATGCTTCTAGACTGTTGTATTCTGAGCACCTCTGCAAAAACAGTGATAATGTGCGAGTGTGGTGAAAGTGTTGAATGATGAAAGTATTTTCTTTTTGGGGATTTTCTTTCTTTTTTTTTGGGTCACCCTGTCTCGGTGGGAGACGGCCGACTTGTTGAAAAAAAAAAAAAAAAAAAATGTTAGGATTAAAGTCAAATGAAGATCCACCTGCTCTTTTACTGGGTAGTAATGTAGCTCTGGATTTCAAACTTAGAGCACTGTTTGTGTAACCATACTCCTAGAAAAGTGCTTCATAAATCTAGTAGTAGTACTATTACTATTGCCACTGGTACGTTACTTGTGTAGTGTATATGTTTCAACCTCTATATGAGCCCCTCTAGTCTGGTGTGTGACATTCACTTGAACACCCTGGCCTAAGTGTCGGCCTGGGAAGCATTCCTAAGACCAGGAACAGGGGCGGTACAAGAAGGCTGGGCTCTTTGTTCACCAATACACCATAACACTCCATCATTTAGTGTTATTGCTACCTTACTATTCATACTTAACAAAGAATGCCCTGACACTATTTCTACTTTCACCACTACCCTAGGCACTGGAAACTGCTACTTAAAAAACATTAAAAACATGACACGACAGGTATACCTTTGTTCATGTAACTGCAAATAAGTAATACAATAGGTAATTACATGTGCTGTAGTAATACAAGAGGTAATTACATCTGCTGAAGTGTTCCTGCTTTATGTTCTTACGTACACCAGCTGAGGAAATTCCTTCAGGGGAGGAGGAAGAGATGGGGAGAAAGGTGCCTTCTTCAAGGATTAAGGACATTTGTGCAAAGTGGAATGAGGTGCAGACATTTGTGGAGGAACATCACCCTAACCCTCACCCCTCCTCCCATCTTCCAGACACCAACAGGAGTCTTAAATAAAGGTAAGTGTGATGTTATTATTGTTTTATCCTTCTCATTGTTTTCTGTATGTAAATCTACATTTTAACATAAAAAATATTTTTTGTTAATACTTTTGGGTTTGTGGAACGGACTAATTGGATTTACGTTACTTTTTATGGGGAAAATGGTTTCGCCATTTGTAAATTTCGCCTTTCGTCAGACTCTCTGGAACGGATTAATTACAAAATTCGAGGGTCCACTGTATCTTGAAAGGAAGTTATTAACGTGTTTCCTACCAATATTAATGATAACAGATTGAAACTATATTCACAGTGAGTATTCAACAATGAATGTTTTATTATGAAATATGATTTTCATAATAGCCCAATTTTTTGCATTGTGGGGGGGGGGGTGAAGGGCAGATATTTAATGAAAATGTCCAACTTTCTAAGTTTATTTGGTCTATGAAAATAAGGTACATGTATATTACAGTAGTTGCCATCTTACAAAAATTAATTTGGCATTGCTTCATCAGTAGTGTGTAAAACACATTTGGCATTGCCAGTATGTCACTAATAGCAAAATAGTGTTGCCAAATCCAATTTTTGTTAATTTTTTAATTTGTTTGTTGATGGATGTTAAAACTCTTCTTGTATCAATACTTGCACATATGCTGATTGTAACAACTAAAACAACAACAACCACAACAACCACCACAACCACAACCACAACAACAACAACAACAACAACAACAACAACAACAACAACAACAACAACAACAACCACCACCACCTTAAATCTGACAAAAAAGTGATACTAACTTGAGTGTTGGTTCTGTAACTGGACTACTTTAAAACTCTCACACATTTTGAAGATGAAACTTAGATGTCATTTTATGCTTTGATGCGCCAACACCAAGTTAACTTAATGATGTAGGCTGGAGCAACCCTCCCCTCAGTCAGGGTACCTTAATATCTAGGCTGGAGCAACCCTCCCCTCAGTGAGGGTTCCTTAATTTTTCTGAAGGATTCTTGATCCAAGAAATTGAACCTGTCCTCTATATGACTGCATCCTATTTTTCCAGGCGCTGTATGAAAACTGGGTTTCGAGCTTTTTGCATGTATCCAGTAATACGGTGGACCAAAACCACTTGCAGTTTTATTTCTAAATTGTAGAGTAGCTGTGGAAGTAATAGTTGAGTAGATTTTTAATTAATTTTATTTTAGTAAGCTGACAGTCTCCCATTGAGGTAGGGCAATTCAGGTGCTAAAATAAAGGAAATGTTAAATTTTTCATAATTTAATATTTTAGATAATCAGTGTGAGGGTGAAGCGTTAAATGAACATCAGTCAAATGTAGATGTGGTAGACCCCAAGCAACTGGTCTCTGTCGGTGATGATTGCTCAGGGTTGAACATCAAGCAGGACCACTTAAAGGTAAGTTGTTGCTGTATATATAATGTACTTACATATTTGTCGTTATTACTAAATTTAAAAAAATAAAAAAATTTTAGTTTTCTTTTTAGGTCACCCTACATAGGTGGGATATAATCTGGTTTGTTGAAAAAAATAAATTGTGGTTGCAGGGGTTGGCTCTGATCCTGGCACAGATTTTTCAGATTTACTTCTTTATTTCCTTATTTACTTTTATATTTTGTAAGAGGTAAGTGCTAGGGTGTAGGAGAGGGGTGGGATTAAATTATGGGGAATCAAATATAAAATGGGATTTGAGTTACTTTTTGCTGATGATACTATGCTTTTGGGAGATTCTGAAAAAAAGTTGCCGAAGTTAGTGGATGGTTTGGGAGGGTGTATACCTGGAGAGGGTTTTGGGGGTCAATCTGAGGCCTGTGACCGGGCCTCAGATTTTAGGGTGTGTAAAGGAAGAAAGCTGAAAGTGAAACATAGATAAGAGTAAGGTGATGATGGTATCAAATGATATGGATAAAGAAAAATTGGATATCACATTGGAGGGAGGGAGTATGGTAGAAATGAATGTTTTCAGATATTTGGGAGTTGACTTGTCAGTGGATGAGTTTATGAAGGATGAGGTTAACCATAGAATTGTTGAAGGAAAAAAGATGAGTGGTGCATTGGGGTATCTGTGGAGACAAAAAGTGTTATCCACGGAGGCAAAGAAGGGAATGTATGAGAGTACAATAGTACCCTGAGTTTTTCGTACTGCTCCCAACTTGAACATGTACAGTATGTAAGTGCTTTTGTAATTGTATTTTTGGGGGTCTGAAATAGGCTAATCTAATTTACATTATTCGTTGTGGGAACAAATTCGTTTGGTAGCGGCACTCGAACAGCCTTCTGGAATGAATTGTGTGTACGAAGCTCTGGGTACCACTGTACAGTGGTACCAACACTTATATGGGTATGAAGCATGGGTTATGAATGCTACAGCGAGGAGGAGGCGGCTAGAGGCAGTGGAGATGTCGTATCTAAGGGCAACGTGTGGTGTAAATATTATGCAGAGAATTCTTAGTGTGGAAATTAGGTGGTGTGGAGTTATTAAAAGTAAGAAGGCTGAAGAGGGGTTGAGGTGGTTTGGTCATTCAGAGAGAATGGAATAAAGAATGACTTGTGAAGGAATTCAGGGAAACCAATTAGCCAGACTTGAGTCCTGGAAATGGGAAGTACAATGTCTGCACTTCAAAGGAGGGGTTTAGGATATTGGCAGTTTTTAGGGACGTCTAAACTGTCGTATCTCGAGTGCCTTCGCAAAGGCAGTGATTGTGTATGAGTGATGGTGAAAGCGTTGAATGATGATGATGAAAGTTTTTTCTTTCTTTTTGGTCATCCAACCTCGGTGGGAAATGGCCAACATGTTAAGAAAAAAAAATTACTTTTGTGTATGCTGAAATAGTTCTTATTTTGTTGGTTAAATTTAGGTTTGTATACAAGTTTGGTGTTGTACATGTGAATTTGTAAATATTCTGTTGAGTAACTTACTTTTTTTTTTTTGCTTTTATTCCAGTGTTTTGTTAATCTTTACACTCTATCATTGGAGATACTTGAATGTTTGTTGATGGTTCCCTTACAGACCAAATTTGATTATTTTAACCCTTTGACTGTCGAGACCCCTGCTCACAAACTTGCTCTCAGTGTCAAATTAAAAAAAAAAAATTTTTTTTCTTATGAAATGATAGATGATCTTTTCCTGATGGTAATGACACCAAAAGTACTAAATTTGATTGAAAACTTAGGTAATTACGCTCTATTGAAGTTAGTGATCTCGGCGCTATTTACACACCGGCAATTTTGCACACTTTGAGCCCTATTTTCAGCCAGTTCCATTGTTCCACTCGACCAAACTCAGCTATTTCTTTAGAAATCCATTTGTTCTATCGACTGAGTACAAGAAACTGCTCATTTACTGATTTCAACTACCCAATAAAGTGGTCAGAAATTGGAAATTTGGCCAAATTTATGCAAATTAAAAAAGATGCTTATTTCAAAATAGGGTCTAGAATGAACAATGCAGACATTCAGTCACGTCTACAGCTCCTCTTATATATTACTCTTGCTTTCTATTTTGAATTTTTATTCACACAAAAAATAGAAGATTTACTGTTATGTAGACTACTGCATTATTGTAATACAGTGGAACCTCATTTTTCGGCCGTAATTTGTTCCTGAAGGTCGACCTAAATTCGACATGGCCGAAATTCGATGCAGTGTTTCCCTTAAGATTATAGTTTTACTTACACAAAACAGTGAGAACTAAATAAAATAAATGAACATTTAAATCACTATTACATGCCTTTATTGAAGACTGTTGTTGGCTTAGGGAAGATAGGGAGGAGTGAGGGGGACTGGATTATTGTTTGGAAGGGAAATGCCCCTCCATAAAGACTTTAGGTAACAAGTCCCTCTCTGGGGTTACTTCCTTCTTTGTCTTTTAATGCCATTAGGACCAGCTTGAGTCACTGGATCCCCTGTTGCACAAAATAACTGTCCAGAGTGCTCCGTTTCTGGCGTCTCTTTAAGATTTCCCTAAAATGGGGCAAGGTTTTGTCACTGAACATGTTGCATATATGGCTTGTTTCAGCTTGGTCAGGGTGATATTTTTTTGCAAAATTTTGCACCTCATTATACTTGGCACAAATGTCCTTAATCACTGAAGAAGGCACATCCTTTTCCCTCTCTCCCTCCTCTGAAGCAAGTTCCTCAGCTGTGGTCTGTTGCTGTTCCAGTTAAAGGTGTTGCAGCTCTTCAGTGGTTAGCTCTTCCCTGTGTCCTCCTCCAACTCTTCCACATCCTCGCCATTCACATTCAACCCCAGGGACTACCCCAATACCTCAATAGATTCCACAACAGCCAGAGGGTCGACAGGGTCAAGGCCAGCTTCAAACCCTTCAAAATCCTTCGAGGACACAATCTGGCCACAGTTGTCTCCAAGATATTGAAATGATTCCTCCAGAACACACTCAGGGTCAATTCAGTGTCCGAGGCCATTTCAAAGCACCTTTGAAACACTGCTTTTGTGTTTTTTGAAGTTAGAAATGACCTGCTGGTCCATGGGCTGGATGAGAGGAGTGGTGTTAGGAGGCAAGAACTTCACTGTTATAAAACCGAAATCTCTAGACAATTGGTCTACAAAGTTTGGAGGATGAGCAGGAGCATTCTCCATTACCAGGAGGCACTTGAGTGGCAATTTATTTTCCTGGAGGTATTTTTTCACACACTGGCCAAACACTATATACTCAATGAAAATTTGCCTTGTGACCCATGTCTTATTGTTAGCCCTCCACATCACACACAATCTACTCTTGACATTTTCTTTAACACACTGGGATTTTCAGTGATACACCAGTAAAGGCTTCACTTTGAAATCCCCATTAGCATTATCACAACACAAAAGGGTTAGCCTGTGTTTCATAGGCTTGTGTCCTGGTAGTGCCTTTTCCTCCTGCATGATGTAGGTCCTCTTTGGCATTTTCTTCCAAAAGAGGCATGCTTTGTTGCAATTGAACACTTTTTGGGGTTGGAATTCTTCAATCTGTATGTACCCCTTGAATTCCTGCACAAATTTTTCAGCCGCACGTTTGTCAGAACTTGCTGCCTCTCCATGCCGTACAACACTGTGTATGCCACTACACTTCTTATATCTCTCAAACCAGCCTCTGCTGGCCATAAATTCATTAACATCATCACTAGTACCAGGTATTTTCTATAAGAGATCTGCATGCAATTTCCTTGCCTTTTCACAAATGATCGTCTTTGAAACGCTATCTCCCGCTAACTGTTTTTCCCTGATCCACAACAAAAATAATAACTCCACATCTTCATTAGTTTGTGATCTCTTTTTCGTTAACAGGTTTACCTTTTTTGCCACATCAGCTTCCTTGATTTGTTCTTTATTTGCCAGGATAGAAGTGATTGTTTATTTGTTTTTGCCATATATCCTGGCAAGTTCCAACACCCATAAACCACTCTGTTTTTCTATTACTTCCTTCTTAAATTCCATAGTGTTTCTCGCTTTCTTTACCAAAGGAACTTTACTAGGAAATTTCTTGGGGCCCATGGTGACTTATTTCACAGTCACACTTAGTAAAAACCATGAAAAACAATGGATTTTAACCCTTTGACTGTCGCGGCCTTATATATACGTCTTACGAGGTACCGTGTTTGACGTATATATACTCATAAATTCTAGCAGCTTCAAATCAAGCAGGAGAAAGCTGGTAGGCCCACATGTGAGAGAATGGGTCTGTGTTTTCAGTGTGCACCATATAAAAAAAATCCTGGAGCACACAGTGCATAATGAGAAAAAAAAACTCCGACCGTTTTTTTTAATTAAAATGCCAACTTTCTGGTCTATTTTCGTATAGTATTTATGGTTGTATTCTCGTTTTCTTGGTCTCATTTGATAGAATGGAAAACATATTATATTAATAGAGGTGATTTTGATTGATTTTACTATAAAAAGAACCTAGAAATGGAGCTCAAAGTAGAGGAAATGCTTGATTTTTGCCAATGTTCAAAAGTAAACAAATGATGCCATTGTCCAATAAATGTCCAACTAGCCATTCTAATATGCAGTCATGAATGGATTGATGTTATTTATACAATTATTACAGTATTGCAGTAGTCTGCATAATAGTAAGTCTTCTATTTTTTGTTTGAATAAAAATTCAAAATAGAAAGCAAGAGTAATATCAGAGGGGCCTGGAGACATGATGATGAGCAAAGAAAATGTTATTTTAGAGCCAAGAATGTCTGCATTGTTCATTCTGGACCTTATTTTGAAATTGTCATATTTTTTAATTTTCCTTAAATTGGCCAAATTGCAAATTTCTGACCACATTATTAGGTAGTTGAAATCGGTAAATGGGCAGTTTCTTGTACTCAATCGATAGAAAAAATGGAGTTCTAAAGTAATAGCTATGAGTTTGGGCGACTGGAACAATGGAATTAGCCGAAAATAGGGCTCAAAGTGGGCGAAATCTCCGATTTGTAAACAGCGCTGAGGTCGCTAACTTCGCGAGAGCATAATTCCGTCAGTTTTCCATCAAATTTTGTTTTTTTGGTGTCATTACAATTGGGAAAAGATTCTCTTATCATTTCATGAGAAAAAATAATTTTTTTTTTTTTAAATTTTGTGACACCAGGAGATACCTCAGGATTGGGGGTTGCGACAGCCAAAGGGTTAAGGAAATGTTTGGATGACTGCGCGGAGTATATGCTCACTCGCGGACAAAGTGAGACTGACTTCCCAAAGCCTGGTGTCCCAGCTGGAGATGCGGGCTAACATGTCTAATATGGCTGATATACAAGGGAATGGCCAAAATACAGAGCAAAATTTCCACCAAAAAAACGGCCTAAAAACGAATCGTCTGATAAACAAAGTGGCCGGGAAACGAGGTTCCACTGTAAGTGTATAAATGTCAAAACATACGTGACTGCATATTAGAATGGCTAGTTGGACACTTGTGGGATAATTACGTAACTTGTTTACTCTTGAACCTCGGCAAAAATTGAATATTTCTGCTACTTTGAGCTCAATTTTAAGGTCGTTTTCATCATGAAACGAATCAAAATCATCTCTATTTCTGTAATATGTCGTCCATTCTATCAAGTGAGATGAAGAAAATGAGAATACAACCATTAATACTATACTAAAATACACCTCAAAGTCAACTTTTTAATCCAAAAATGTGGTTAGTTTTTTTTCTCATGCACTACATGCTGCAGGATTTTTTTTATACTGCACACACTGACCACACAGACCCATTCTCTCACATGTGGGCCTACCAGCTTTCTTCCACTTGATTAGAAGCCACTAGAATTTTTGGAGTATAAATGCATCAAAAACACTGGCTTGTAAAATGTATATATAGGACCGAAACGGTCAAAGCATTAAGTAGTATTGCAGCCAATGGTTAATCTCAAACATTGAATTTGTTTAATCTGGGGGAATAGTTTAGATCTACTCAAATTTTTGTAGCAGTTTCTACTCGGAACCTTGGTACGTTTCATCATGATAATTGAGAAGCACCAGGTAATTATTCCTGTCTAATCCCCAATAAACTCGGTGTAATATATTTGATGCATGGCTGTCTATCCATTTACTGTATATGTATGAATTAACATTTCATTATTTCTATATCATTCATATATGAGCTGTATTTATTTTTAGAACATAAAGCATATATGTCAGTGAGGTTTCTAACATAGATTTTAGGGTAGTTCTACAGTATTCAGAACTTTTTATAAATTTCTTGGAATAAGCTGGAGTTTATAGCTTCAGAATACCTGAACTGATAATAGGTGAATTAACTCTTTTGTTATTTTACAACCCATTTTCTTGTTCCTAGGCATCTGCAGAAAACCAGTCCCTTTCTGAGAATGATGTGCAAATTCTGACGGAAACCATTGATCATCTAACACAACTGCGTGATAACCTGGAAGCTTCCATACTTATAAAAGATGATTTAATTGCTGAACTCCAAGTGCAGCTTGACGAAGTGGTGGTGGAAGGCCGAGGTTACCAGGAGAAAATGGAATCTTACAAGTGTAAGACAGAGCAGCTTGAAGAGGAGGTACTACTCAGTTTTTCTTTCTTTATTAATATGCTAGCTTGGTATAATTGACAACCAGCCCAGCTTTATGCTTGAACATGTACTGATTATGTCTAGTTTCCTAAAAAATTTGTGGGTAAATTTTAAATCTTCCACTAAGGTAGGGTGACTCAACAAAGAAAACTTTAGTTGTCACTTATTCAGTCATTGCTTTACCAGAAGGGCACTGACAACACATTTCAGAAGACCCTCCAAGCTGCAGCATCCCCACCCCTCCTTCAGAGTGGTCACTGTACTTTCCACCTCCAGGACTCGAGTCTGACTAACTGGCCTCCCTGAATCCCTTCATAAACTTGACCTTTCTCACATTCGAACAGCAAATCAAATCATAAAAACCACTTGTTCATATCTAACACTTGCACAAGCCTGATGGGTGTTAAAGCCCTTTGCACTCAAAACCTCCTTTACCTCTTCCCTCAAACCTTTTCTAGGATGATCCCTACCCATCCTTCTCCTCCCCAAACTAGATTTTTACACCCTCCTCCTCATCCTATTTTTCTCCCTCCAAATGTCCTAACCACCACAAACACCTATCCTCTGCCCTCTGAATAATACTTTTGGTAACTCCACACCACCGCCTAATTTTCAAACTCCAAATTCTCTCCAAAATAATCACAACACACATTGGTTTCAAACATGATATCTCTTACTTCCAGTCTCCTTTCTGCAACCTTTAAAATGCTTTGCATCAATACAACAGTGTTGGTACACTAATTTTTTTTTTCCTTGGATAAAGTTTTTATTTACACAAACCTCTGCACCACTCGCCTTTTTTCTTTGTCAGTCATATAGGTCCCCATCTTTTGGACCCATCTGCCAACAGGTCCACTCTCAAATATCTGAATACATTAACTTGCTCCATACTCTCTCCTTCCAATCTGATATTCAATCTTTCATTGCCTATATTTTTTTATATACTCTCATCACCTTGCTCTCGTGCTATGCTTTATAGTAAAGTAAGGGGGATAATTAGCCCTTGAATACGATTACTGATTTAACCTTTTGATATTAATGTCATGTGCTTTATATGCTGGAAAATATGGTAATTGCACTTTAGTTACAATTAAAATACTGTAAATTAATAGGTGTGTATAAATACAGTTAGCTCATGAAATAACTGTTGTGGTATTATCCTGTAGTACTGTTCAGAAAGTGTAGGAAAAGTGTTTGATGTGAAGAAAACCTTTGTTGCACATATATTGAAAAAATAAGCTAACACAAGAACTATTGGTACTGCACAATAGGTTTCCACAGTATCAAATTAGATCCAGAGTCTGGGTTCTATAAGCTTTAGAAGTTATCCTTTCTAAACCAACTTAGGTAGTATATAAGTTGAGAACATTATTTAGGGGACAAATATTTTCCCTCTCCCATTGCCATTTATGCCATATATAGTTGTTTTCTGGGAGTATACACTTCCTCATACACTTTGTGATGTTAAAACGATTTCGGACGTTTATAAGCTCGCTTTCTCTGGAAACCAAGAGGAATACTAATAATGCTGGAGATAAGACAATCATGAATCTAAGAAGGTATTAAGATAATGGAGGTTTTAGATAACCTGGAAGTGGTCCACATATGACCTAGGCTGCTCGTGCTTTTGTGGAATATTGACGTATATTACATTAGAAAGTATTGAATGATGATGAAAGTATTTTCTTTTTGGGGATTTTCTTTCTTTTTTTGGGTCACCCTGCCTCGGTGGGAGACGACCGACTTGTTGGAAAAAAAAAAAAAAAAATTACATTAGAAATGATGAGCATAAAATAAGAGCTTGTGCAACATGTACAGACTGTGAACAATTGAAAAGAATGTCAGTGTGGCCAATAATCAAATAATGAAAAATTCCTGAAAATGTGGATTGAGAGGAAAACTCAAAACTGAGATAAAAGAACCATCACAATGGTATGTTTAGTGCTAGACAGTTGGAAAGATTTAAAAAGTGTAATTAACATAAAATTTAGTGGTGAGAGTGCATCTACTGATGACTGAGGTTGTGAAAGGTTGAAGCATTATACAGTAGAGCCCCAAGTAATACATGGAATACATGCCTGAAAATTAGTGTGATCTAATTTAGTGGTAAAGGGAGTATAGAGAACATGGGAAAATTATTGTTCCATAGACCCATCCCCCCTGCCTCCCATAAAAGAAAAAAAAAAACTTATGCCATTGTGTAAACTTTCGAAATGGAAATGGGTTAATTGTTTTGCACTATTTGGATTGCTGGTGTCATTTCTATCTTATGAACACTTGATAATGGTTAAATCTTGGTACAGGTTGGCCATCACTAATCTGGCAATTAGTAATCTGGTTCCATCAGTAATTTCGGGTAGCATAATTTCAAATTTCTGGGATTGCCACACTAACCTGCTTCTACTGTTTGGTGGCACTATTTGCTGCATAAGTCATTCAGTTTTTTTTTTCCTCCATTTATTGTTATAACCTGGTCACTTTTAGCCTTAGCCATGGTTTAAGTGAATAAAAGAAATGCTTCTCGTTGTGTAAAGCACATACACCTACCATCCGACTTATGATCTGCTCGACTTACGACCACTCGACTTACGACCGTGTTTTTTATGCCAAATTTCTGGGAAATGAACAACTATTTGTGTTGTACACAGTGTTTATCTTAAACCTTACAGTATAAAATACAGTACTAACAGCATAAAAAGTAAAGTAAAACATGAAATACCAAAATAAAACAATAAAATAGTCATTACAAAAATGTTTTGTTGATATTCAGTAGTAAAGTTCGACTTATGGCCGGTTTCTCGGAACCGAACTCGGTCATAAGTCGGATGGTAGGTGTACACCGTACATAGTCCATAAAAGATGAGGTAGCTTTGAAGCCACTGTCGGTCACCATGAGCTCGGCTCCCTCAGAAAAGCCGTGACTGGTAAATTTGGGCCTACATATGAGAGAATAGGTCTGTGGTAAGTGTGCACTATATAAAAAAAATCCTGCAGCACACAGTGCATAATGAGAAAAAAACAGCAACCGGGCTTTTGGTGTGAAATAGCGACTTTGCTGTGCATTTTTGTATGGTTTGTATGTTTGTATTCTAGTTTTTTTGTCTCATTTGATAGAATGGAAGATATGTTATAGAAATAGATATAATTTTGATTGGTTTCACACCAGAAAGTACCTTAAAATTGAGCTCAGAGTAGCAGAAATATTAAATTTTTGCCAGTGTTCAAGTAAACAATTGTCACCATCCAATACGTGTCCAACTGGTCACTAATATGCAGTCATGAATGGGTTGACATTATTTATACGATTATTACAATGCAGTAGTCTGCATAACAGTAATTTTTTTTTTTTTTTTTTTTTTTTTGTGAATAAAAATTCAAAATGGAAAGCAAGTGTAATGTAAGAAGGGCCTGGAGACATGACTAATGAACAGAGAAAGTTATTTTAGTGCCAGGAATTTCTGCATTGTTTATTCTTGACCCTATTTTGAAATTGACATCTCTTGAAATTTGTGAAATTGGGTTAATTACTGATTTCTGACCATTTTATTGGGTAGTTGAAATAAGTAAATGGACAGTTTCCTGTACTCGCTCAACAGAATAGAAGGAATACTAGTGAAATGGCCAAGTTTGGTAGCTGAAACATTAGATTGGATCAAAAATAGGGCATAAAGTAGGTGAAATTGCCAGTGCATAAATGTCGCCATTGGTGTTTTCTAATCTAACCACTCTGTAATCTGGTATAATCACTAATCCGGCACCCTACAGGTCCCGATGATGCTGGATTAGTGATGGTCAACCTGTACTAACACCCATTACATGCTACATGTACGTATATGTACATATACAGTAGTACCTCGGTACTCTAACAGCTCCCAACTTGAACAATTCGGCATTCACACACTGGTAAAAAAAAAAAAAATTGCTCGGCAGTCGACCATTTGCTCGGCTCTCAACCAAACAGTGTGCATCAGTCTCCTCACAGCTGTCGCTCAGTGCAAAACTCTGCTGAACTTCGCTATAAACTATTTTGTTTCCTCACTTTTTTTATATATATATATACAGTAGGGCCCCACTTACACGGCGGGTTAGGTTCCAGGCTGTCGTCGGAAAGCAGACATTGCCGGAAGGCAGAACGCCATTTTTTTCCATTTATAAATGCATATAAATGCCAGACAACAAGTTTACCCTAAATTATATTAAGTTAGTAATAGAACTAGGCATTAAAAACACACAAAGTAAAATACAGTCACAGTAAATTCATTACTTATCTTAAAGTATTTGTAATCTTAATGTAGGGAGAGAGGTGAGTAGTACTTATTTGTAGGAAGTCAGGTGTAGGTAGCCCAGGTGTAGGTAGCACTGGCTCCCCGTCTCATACTCATACGATATTTAAAACTTCCCAGAGAGGTAAAATACACATACAGTACACTCATTATTTACCTTAAAATATGTGTAGTCTTAATATTGGAAGAGAGGCGAGTAGTATTTATTTGTAGAAAGTCAGTGTAGGTAGCCGGTAGGCGTAGCCTGCCTGGGCTACACCTATTGGCTACCTACACTGTGGCCCAGAGCCATATTATTAACATCGACATGCCTTGTTCACTGAATTTAATCATTTCTAGCAACTACCTTCAGATGCCATAATAAACGAAGGTAGAAGTAATGAATAATTCATGCTGAAAATTGTAAACAGAAGCGGAGTGAGGGAGTGGCTGGGCCAAACGCAGATTCATGCACGTTTTCTCTGATGGCTGAGCAGAGAAAACGTAATGTTGTCCCTCCACCCGGCTACCACACAGCTCCACAAGTATTATTATCAGAGCACACATAAAATATGCAATAAATGCCAGACAATAAGTTTACACTAACTTATATTAAGTTAGCAATATTAAAATGGTATAAAATACCGACAGGTTGTTAGGTAAGACACACATGCAACAGTTAGGTATCTTTATTTCGAAACGTTTCGCCTACACAGTAGGCTTCTT